CACTCAACACCCTGTGTACAAACCCCATGAGATTGGACTGAAATATTCTAAGTGTTTTCTCACTGCTCAAATTGACTTTGATGACATGAAATTGCTATCTGGGGGCTTGTTAGTCAATACAGAGGAAAATTGGTGAATTTCTTATATGGAAATCTTTCCGACTTGGATGCCGGGCGTTTCTAGCGGTTAGGCTGTGCAGAGGCAGCAGGGTACCAGGTGTACTAGATCGGCTCTATAACACGCCGCAGGTGTCGATTACCAATCGCTATAAAAAACTGGACTATTCAACCACTGGACTCCAAGACTACGAGGACCGCAGCCTGTGATGTGATGACTGCCCAAACCTGATGTTGTTCTTTCGCTCGTACCCCCGCCCTGCAAACAGGGCGGGGGGGACGAGGGAATGTTTTTCTCAGCTACCTCACGTGACAGGCACAACCTCAAATGCCACATGTCATCCACCTCATCCAGAAATAGCCCCATAAATGTGGCCAATTTACTGGACTGCCTCCGTAAATAAAGGCCACACTGCCACCATATACAAAAACATGTCGAACTTTGTCAAATTTTGATTTTCACATTTAGGCTTAGTTTGTAGTTTATTTTTGCTTTAGAAGCATACTCACCCCCTTTATAGGCTAATTAGAAAGTGCTGCCTTTTTCAGATGTCTATTTTTCGTAAAATTTCATGTTGAAATTTTGATATGCAAACGTGTGCAAACGAATCTGGAAATTTCACGAAAAATAGACACCTGAAAAGGCAGCACTTTCTGATTAGCCTAAAAAGAGGGTAAGTATGCTTCTAAAGCAAAAATAAACTACAAACTAAGCCTAAATGTGAAAATCAAAATTTGACAAAGTTCGACATGTTTTTGTACAGAATGGCCCCTAGTGTCATAAATTTGGGCCCAGATTTAGATTGAGATATGACACCCTTTGAATACGAAAAACCTGAGAGTTTAACATGATTTGGACATTTTCAAGAAGACTTTTTGGTTTGAAATGTTTACTCATCAAATTTACTTATACGTTTTATTGACTTGCTTGACTGATTACATATTGAAGAAAATTCTTCTTTTTTTTCATAGGTGTAGTCAGCGTTAAGAAGATATATAACTACTACAAGAAGTTTGGCTACAAGACAGTGGTGATGGGGGCTTCATTCCGCAACATTGGTGAAATTACCGAGCTGGCCGGTGTGGATAACATCACTATCAGGTAGGCAAGGTTTGCGACTCATTTTGGTCCCAGTCAGCACTTAGGTATGTTTCTGCTGATGAAGGTAATACTTTTTCGTGTTATTTTTCTCTTTAGTCCTAAGCTGCTGGAAGAGTTAAAGACGACCAACGCTCCACTGCCTCGGAAGCTGTCACCTGATTCAGGTTGGAAGTTTCCTGTCTTTCAAAGTTAGATTTTTTTGAGAAATTTCTCAGGAGGTTTTTCATCTTTTCCCCCTATCAATCGAAACATTTGTCCATGCTAAGTTACATATTGTCCTTGTTGAACCTTTTCCTTCTATAGACATCTTAGCTTCAGAGGATATGACCCATTGGATTTCTACTATGCATTTAGTGAGGGAATAAATATGTGCTTGCTCGGTTTTAAAGAAGTACGTTTAAAACTGGCTCAGGGGCCTGGACGCCCTTTGCTCGGAACATTATCGGAGACCAGGCCCCTGAGCCGATTTTAAACGTACTTGTTTAGCACATATTTATTCCCATTCATAAATACCTTCGAGTCAAAAAGTCAAAACAAGTCAAAAATTATAAAATTCCAAAGATTTTGTTCAACAATTTTACTTCATGTCATTTGAAACACCCCTCTAGTTATGGTATGTGCCTCATTGGTACTATTGTGCATGCCTAAGTGAAGATTGTGAATGTTCAATCAATAAAAGGGTAAAACATTTCACAGGAGTCCAAATTTGATGTGACACCGGAAAAGTGTTTAAGACCAGCCAGTCTGTGTTTTATCAACAGTTTAAAACCACCCATGAGACAGGCTCTTGACCAATAGGAATGGGTAAACTGTCTTAGGTATTTATGAATATATTTTGATGCCCCACTGCATTATTTTGTGTGTTTCTTTGTTTTTTGTTTTAACTGAAAATATTAATTAAGCAAAGAAAATGTGTTGATTTGCTCTTCTGGTGCTATGACATATTGTGCTACTTTGAACAGAAATTGACAAATCAGCACTGACCTTTGCCAAACATTCTTCAACAGCACTGGCAAGCGAACCATTTTACCTTTATAAGGAAAAAAAACCCATGTAACTTAATTTTCTTCATTACTAGCGGAAGAACTGACGATGGAAAAGGTATCCCTTGGTGAGCAGCAGTTCCGCTGGCTGCACAACGAGGATCAGATGGCTGTGGAGAAACTCTCGGATGGAATCCGCAACTTTGCTGCCGATGCCATCAAACTTGAGAACATGCTGAAGGAGAAACTCGCTCAGTAAGAACAACAAACAATTGAGTAGGCCTATTACTACGGAGTCATCAGTCTCTGTACACACGAGCTAGAGTTAAAATATTCGCAATGCTACTAACAGATGTTGCTTCCCCCTCACTGCAACTGGCTACCCAGCCATCATATCTGTATATTAGAATACATGTAGTGTATTTCTGAACAGGTAGTGTTTCCTACATGACTCAATTTGTGGGCGCATTACATTCCTTAGCATTGGGAAATCGAGAACAAATAGCAAATTACCCTTTTCCAGATTCAGTGAGATAAAAGTAACCAGTTATGAATACATCATGAAATTTGATTGGTTGTTTGCAATGTCGAAAATCTTGACTGCATAGTTATTAATTGTTTTACCCTTTTCCAGATTCAGTGCGATAAAAATAACCAGTTATGAATACATCATGAAATTTGATTGGTTGTTTGCAATGTCAAAAATCTTGACTGCATAGTTATTAATTGTTTTTTGCAAAACGCAACTTTCAGATAAACTGTTCATATGGCATAGAGTTTGATGGAATTGTTTGTAGTCCATGTGCCCCATGACATAATGCCGACAGGCAACCAAGCAGGGGTGAGATTTGTCAGGATTTGTCCTGATTTCAGGATTTTTAAAGAATCCCTTTTGAAATCTTGAATTCCTGAGGTTTTACCATATATATAAAGCAAAAGATATGGATGTTTTAATGGGTGTCTTTTGGCGAATATGAACACATACAAGAGACCCTTCATTGCTCTGGGGACCTCAAACCCTCTGCCGATTATTCCATGGATTGTTCATTTTCTGCCAGTCTCACCCCTGACCACCAGGCAACCCAAACACTGAAGCCTCTTGTGCATGTTATTTGGCCCACATTAGACAGTATATGTCAACACTTTTAAACCAGTCCTATTTCAAGAGAGATACATGCAGATACATACGCGCTTTGGAAAGAAACTCTTCAAATATAGGTGTTGTCTAAAACAAAAAATAATTAGCAAGTCTTCCCAAATGTTTTTAAAAAAAAGAAAGGTTTTTTAATGAGTCCGCACAACTTTATGTGATATGCACTGAACGATTAGTTTATTATAATCTTTAAGGTTAGAAAACTGGGCAGTAGAAGTTTGAGTTAATATTTTAATAATTATGGAATGTAGTTTTGACCTGATTCATAGTACATTGTTCATCTATAAACTTTGCTGAATAAGAATTAAAGATCATTTATCTTGTTACATTATTATGAATGGAAATGATTGAATCTGAGAAAGATACAGCAAAGAAAGAACAGAAAGCTACTTTTGTACTTCATTTAAATAAAACGTGTTTATTTTGACACCCTGAGAAAGGCAGATACTGCAATTAACATTAAAATATTGGTTGAGGGCTGTTTATACTTGACTTTACCTATGTTGGCTAATTACCTGAATTTTGCACCATAAAAAAACCTAGATATAAAAATATATGAATTTATTTTTATACGAAAGTAATTTAGATCTTTTTTCTCTTGGTCGAAACCAGGTTTGTTTTGTTAAACCGATGTTTTGATTTTGAGCAAGGTCCTAATTGATATATAATTTTCTTTGAGTTTGAAGGTGTTTAAAAAACAGGAAAGGGAAGGGGACAGTGATGTTCGAGGTAAATGTAATAAAGTACTGTAGCAGAGAATGCGTGTGTGCAATTTATTTTTGGTGGTGGATTAATGAAAGAGAATTTGCAGGTTTTCTTTAAAATGACACTCGTGTTATTTACATTGGTTGTAAGTGGTTTGGATCTCGTGTTTTTCTGGAAGTGATAGCACCAAAGTTAGTAGGTGCATTCTGCTAGTGCCACCAGAAGAGAAAACAATTTGTACGTGATGCAGACTTTCCGCAGTGCACCGCACTTATATCCATGGAGGTAGAAAAGACGGCGTGGTAGGATAACCGCATAATACACAAAATTGAGAAAAACGCTTGAGTGGCAGCTTTTGCCTCGACAAGCATGACGTCACTGGTCGAATGAGCCAAAATGTAAAAAAAAAGTACCTGAGCTCACTTTACATCAAGCTGTGTTTGCAATTCTTTTTTCTTTTTCTAGTGGGGAGATTAGAAAGTTGATTTTTTTCTCTCTAATTTGCCTGTTTCTTTCTCTTTATTGTTTTACCCCCAAAAGTCAAGTCATACTGAATCTGTAACAAAACAACCACATGCTGATGTTATAATTAACAGGATTAATTGGTTCTTTGCTTATCCTTCAAAATGATATCCTTCACTTTTTCATCCACTTCCCATAATAATCCTTTACAACATTAAGATAGGCCTACAAACTGTTTCATGTTGGAACTTTCAAGTAAACTAAGCTGTTTCGAGCATTTTTTTTTAGCGGTTCCACTGAGCTAATTGCCCTGATGAATTGTTGTTTTTTCGAGCGGAATAGAAATACGTTTCTTTCATTCCGAATCTGCATTTTAATTTGAAGCATAAGTTTTGGCGTGGAAGACCCAAAAAAGTGTCATTGAGGGCGCTGTGTAAGATTAACGCAGAGCTATCAAGTATTATAAAGTCATGGCTCACTGTATGTGCGTGCCATGCACTACATATGTATTTACGGGACCCCGTATTTACGTGTACATATTATGTGTAGGCCTACGCACGTACGTCGTCCACAGACTTGATCCTCGTGTTTTGGAACTGAATTGAAGGGGGTAAGTTGATATTCCTTCAAAATTTAATTTTTGAACTGATGACAACCCAAAAATTGTAATCAGAAATTGTAATGTTTCTGAATGGCTGTGTACTAGTACTAGGGCGTAGGAGGAACCCTAAAAATATATTCAAAATATGGCAAATCAAACTAGGCTAAAAAAAAGTTAGTCCCATACTAGTACTACCTGACTACTACTAGCTTGAGTAACTCCAGCTGACATGCTCCATATGCATTTACATGTAAATGCAGCTTTTGTGCGCGCATCCGCCGCAGATGCCTTTTGCTGTGACGGTTTTTGAACCGTCATGACGCGCTTAAGTTGTTTGCGTATCTTCTACTTCATGCGCGTTGCATTTAGAGTACTCTTTAAAAATTCAATCCATCTATTATGATTGTGTTCTACAAACACGCACATAAATTAAAAATGTCTGCGCCCAGAGCGGCTTCAAAGCGTCTCCGCGCGCAAGAATGAGGAGTTAGCGCTCTAGTAATTTAATATAGCTCTATGGTCCCATATCTCTGTTATGCCCCAACTATGGCATCGGTTCCAACTATAGTTGGGACGGTCCCAAATGTAGTTCTGCAGTTGGGCTGGCCCAACTACATGTATAGTTGGGAGCGGAGGCCGGCGCCTGTACGCATTAGTTGTAGCATGGTTGTGGCGAGTGCAGCTGGTGAATTGCCGATGGATATTGTAAGGGCGTTTCGTGTTTTCCACTGGATAATCATTTAGTGGCCTATGACTTTATTTTAAATGAACTACAGACATGACAGAGTGAACTCCCTTATGCCAGAACAAGGAAACACTGAAACGTTGGGGTTTAAACTCATACATGTATACATGCACTCGTCAACCCTAGTGGAACTATTTGATGAGCTTTTGCACCCCCTGCCCCCTATAAAACCAAGGGGTCTCCCCATAAAACTTCAGACTTGTTTTTCTTTGATGTAAATTATTGTAAATATATTTTTGCCATCGTTTTTAAACCACAATTGGGTGTGAATGCCTTTTTATGACAGTAATTTAATCGACCTGTTTTAATTTGTGTGCAGATGAGAATTATGTTTTCCTATTTTTCTTCTGTTAATGGGTGGGGCCCATAGTTGGGCCACTTCAACTGTTTTTATTTTGCGGTCCCAGCTATAGTTTACATTGCTGTACGACTATAAAACATTCCCTACAGCTCTGATACACATCTGACTTTACTTGGGACCATTGAAATTAGCTATGGGTGGGGCCCATCTATAGTTGGGCCACTACAATTGTTTTTATTTTGCGGTCCCAACTATAGTTTACGTTATTGTACAACTTCAAAACATTCCCGACAGCTCATACACGTCTGACTTTATTACTTGGGACCGTTGAAATTAGTATTGCGAGGTTACCCGGCTCCAATCATGCCAATACAAGAACCGGAACTGTGAGTCCAATTTTTTGGAAAACCGGGTACCCGCTATCCTCGGTTCCAGCTCCAAAAGAATCAGTTCCAGATTAAATTACCCATTCTCTGTGCACAAAACCCAGAGCTGAGAATCGGCTACACACAGGTAGGAATTCAACACTGGGACATTGTTCAATCTTGCTAGTCAAAACAATGGCGAGGAAAAACCACAGACTCCAAATACATCACTGGAGAGTCAGAGACAAACCGCCCTACGATGTCTGCGGTCGGGCCACGAGGCTTGCATGCATGCATGCAGTGCATTGAACCCAATACTAGTCTGTTTGGACAATCGGTGTAGCGTGAATTTAGTTTTATAAAATACGGACCCCATGGTGGTATTGCGCATGCTCCGGCCTGCATAGATAATTAGAAAAATGAACGATCACGAAAAAGCAGTCCGTTGTTCACATGAGTAATTTTTTTTGTCACACCGGCTCTGAGTGCTGGAATCGACTCTGATGGCCCCGGCAATAGTGTTGCAGATGTTGGCTCTGTGGACCCGTGTACTGGGTACAGCGTTGTTTTGAGATTTGGATTTCGCGAGCTGTGGGCCAGGGTACATGTAATAAAATCCCCAGCTCCATAGTCCATACGAGTCTCGAATCTACCGTTGCATGAAAATGAATTATTCCTTTGCTTCATTTCTAAAACTTCTTTCTGTTTGGTGCACATGGTGAAAAATAGGCTGCTATACATGTACCTGCTAGATAATAGCAGTTGATCCGGACCACCCATGACTCGTTCAAAGTCAGAGCTGGGTAAATTTGTACACGGGTCTGCCATAGCGCCAGAGCCGATTCCTCCAGCACTCGACCAGTTCCATGTGTTTGTTGAAAGCAAGGTACCAGTGTGTACGTGCCTATAGCGTGTACTTGTGCTGTGCAGTAAATGGTTTATTCTAGGCGGCATGGCGGTGTCGCTGCAGTAAATAAAATTATGGGAAAGGAACAGAGAATAAAGTAATAAAGCTCGCAGTTTCACAGGAAAAAGACACCGTTTGAAAACATGCGTAGTGGAATAACATGTATTTCACGTTGAAATCTACGGAGCACTGCCTCACAAGGTGACACAGTTATTCTTTACATGTAATTTTTTTCATTGAATTTTCTGGGAGCCGATTCCGACTCTGACATTTCTCAAAGGGTTCACTGTGCACTCAAAAAAACAATCGGAAAATCACGCCGAAATTTAACATTTTCTTTTAACTTTGTAACGGGTACATAAACTCGTGATTTATGAACGGGAGTGGGCACAATTGCAGAATACCCCGCCACTCAATCTATCCACCTCGTAGCCGGCTACGGAGTCACGGTTGATTACCCTCAATAAACCTTCTCAGCGCTACTTGTATGTACTATGCATCTTGCTTCACTGCACTCCCACTCCGTATCCGCGTAGCCGCCAACAGGGTAGTTGGTTTGGACTTACAAATTTTTTCAGCAACTCCCATTCCTTTTGTGTTGCTTCATTCTCAAGCATATTCAAGGGGACTCCCACTCCGTATCCGCGTAGTCGGCAACATGGTGGTTGGTTTGGACTTAGAATTTTTTCAGCAACTCCCATTCCTTTTGTGTTGCTTCGCTCTCAAATAATGGACCCCCACTCAGTATCCGCGTAGCTGGCATGGACTTGAATTGTTTCTTTTCCAGTGATTCCAACCTCGTAGCTAGAGATTTTAGGGGTGTATTTCCGAGTGGCGGGGTATTCTGCAATTACTCCCGGGGGTGTTTAGAACTGTGAAATTTCAGTTAAAACCTTTGCTCTAGCTAGGCGCTGCAGGCAAAAAATCAAAGTGCACCACATTAGGGGCCGCGCCACATTAGGGTACATGTACATGTACATCAATTCAATATCTAAATTCCAACACGAAATTACAAGAAAAGTATATGTCTGAAAAAGGGGGACTACTTTTCTATCGCTTTAAAGAGAGTGAGTATGCTTCTAAAGCGTAAATTAACTACAAATAAAGTCTAAATGTGAAAACCCAAATTTGACAAAGTTCTACATCTCTGGGTACATGTTCCAAGTGTGGGCTTTATTTACGGAGGAAGGGCCTAGTCGAGTCCAGTAAATTGGCCACATTTATGGGGCTATATGCTCCTCCAAATTAATATTAATCCTGCCACATGACATCGCTAGCTATTTTAGGTGAGTCCAGAAACTAAAAAGAGGATTTTCGTTCTCTTGTAAGTTGTAGGAATTTATAAAACTGACATACGGTATGCATTTATTTTTGCATACCCTGGAAGACATAAGGCCCAAAAAAACTGGTAAAGAGAATACATATGAGAAAGAAAGTTACTCCGAATAGATCCCCCAAGACCACTTACACTGTTCACAACAACCGGTAATTTGAAAAAAATCAAAAATGTATACGTACTCCCTACGGCCAGGGGTTAATGTAGGCGAGGGAGGCGAGGCTGGTACGTAATGGCAGCGATGCATGGCGATCGCCCTCATGTGGTACAGTTACATTGGGGAAACAGTCCCCTTTATTTCTAATTTGTGCAAACGATGTGATGTGCACATTGTAAAATATCAATTAAAATATTCCAAACTACTTATAACCGAGAAATTAAGATGCCACTAAAAAGTTAAGACGAAACTGCACGTTACAGGCTTTGGCCCACTGCCTATACAATGTACAATGTAAACCCACTATTTAAAGCAAACAAATTGCCATTTAACTTTCTTTTTAACATAAATCTGTATTTTTGACATTGTTTTCCAATGTGAAGGTAGATGCAGCATGTATACCCATTAAACTTTTGTGAGAGTGTGAGTATTGCATCATGGGTGGCTGCTGTTGCAATAACAACGATGCTACAGAAGATGATGGTGAGGAAAAATGCATCATAGCTGATGACGAAGAGCAGGAGCCATCGTCCAAGGGTTATGGCTCTGTGTCAACAGTGGAGGATAAACATGAACTACAGTATCAAGAACCACCCGACACAAATAGGAACGTGAAACAAAGCCCTAGCACAGATGAGCTTACACAGTCAGCAGAACCATCATCTGATGAACAGTCATCTACCATTGATCTCCATGTATCAAAGAGCGGTATATCACTCCAGCAAACCTCAGAAGGTCAAGCTTCTGAGACTGAGGTGACTAGCAATCTTGATGAAGCAGTCAGTGATGATATGTCACAGGGTGATGTGGATAGGGAGATAGATGAGTTAGTGGCAGCAGCAATGGCTGCCAAGGTTGTCTATCCACCAAGTGCTGCTCAGGAGGAATCTTCATTGTGTCGATCTCCTAAACCATCTGCTGGCCATGAACCATCTACCATATCAACCCAGGACCTTGCAGCATCAGACCAGGATGAAGACAGCGATCAAGAGGCCACACCTTCTAAAGGCCTATCACTCATTAAGAAAACACAGCTGTCATTCAAGAGAGCCAAGGCTAGGGCAACATCCATGGTCTCGATGCCTTCTAAGAGTAGCAGTGGCGAGCAGATTGAAAAGCAACGCAAAAGTCTTCAAGAGAAAAAAACATCTCGGCCGGACAAAAAAAAGTTCAGCATGGAGGAAAGAGCCATGGAGGGAGATGTCAAGAAGCCATTGTATTCAAAGAAAAACAGCAGGGAGTCGCAGACTACCGGTACTGCCAGCAAAGTAGGAAGTAAGTATCAGTGAATGGAATACTTGCCAAAAAATGATACAGTTTTCTCATCTAAGTCTTGATGCATCGGGAAAGGTGCGGCCAGATATATTGACCGTCCAGTAGGGACTGAAAACCCAATCCACATGTGGACTGGGGCAGGAATCGAACCCGGGCCTTATAGGTGAAAGGCGAGCAAAGTAACCACTATGCCAACCCGACTACTGTTTGTACACAAACTTATATTACATCATACATTCATGTAAAGTTGTTTTGTTGTTTTGGTTTCACTCTTGCAACTTGCATTACTAGGCATACATTTACATTTATGTGTAATGCCTGTTCTATATTCTTAGGCCCCCCCCCAAAAATACTTCTTCCGGTTACCCGACCGACCCTATTTTTAGGCTGCGACCCTAAAAATTTTATCAGCAATGCAAAAAAAATAATAATGATTGAATAAATAAAAATATAATCTTGTTGTCTTTTCTGTCACAAAATAACTCTCAACAACCCTTTTGCGTCAAAAATTGCTTGTATTTACTGGTATTTGTTTTCTTACTTACATTCGCAATTTTTTTCAAAAGAAACCTCTGTTATTTTTACAAATTCGCTTCGCGATATAACTACTTTGCAATTCGATGTCACGGTGACTATAATCACGTGCGTAAACCTAGCTCAATGCAGCAACGACTGGTTCCCGCCTCCCCGCGCAGGGGCCAATTTAGAAGACATGATGAAAATGCGGTAACCAGTCTGTGCATGGCTATGCGATCGATAGCGCTAGCATGGCTATGCATTGCAGGCCGGTGCGGATTCGACATCGTAAAAATGCCAAGAAAACACTGATCATGCCGATGGAGAAGGAACATTTTTGCAAGTTAATTCACAGAATTGATCTAGCTTTTTCTGTGTATATGTATTTTCCGTGTTCAAGAGTTCATTTTGAGATCGCACTACTCGTATTTGGAGTGATACAATGCAGCGTGTTTCCGAAATTTTTGACCGTAAAATCGAGGTCTGTCGGCCGCGCGCCACACATACACAGTGCATCACACACTTTGGAGATTTGGCCAGCTTCTCGTCTTGACTAACATTGTGCATATGGTGCGAACGACCTGAATTTTCCATTATTTTTTAAGAATTAACGAACGTAAATATATTGACAATAAGTAAGGTAGGCTTTATTCACTTTTTGTGGCCATTTTATGTATAGCTTTCATAGTGCAATGGAAATAGTTCAAGCTAAAACTTCGCACATACCCCATTCAATCTGTATGAAAAAAAATTGGCAAAAAAAAAAAAATTCCGACCGACCGACCCTATTTTTGAAAGGCATGTAATCAGAAGCAAAAGTTTTTTGTTTTTTTTGGCCTTAGTGCTAGTGCCATGTACAATGTAGCTGATATAGATCCTTGTCATTTGATTGGTGGAACACACATCACGTGACATTCATTATTGCTCCCATTCACGCCGGGGCTCAAAAAGTCCCATTCGCCCATGGTGAATGGGATTTACTATTCAACACTTAAGATCATCTTTGTTCCACGGCGCGGTATTTGGGTGTAAATGCATGCTGGTGTGCATGCGCGTAGCGTGTATTGTTTCCAAGGGCCAGTAGCTACAGAGTTGGGTTCCAACATTTCGTGAAGGGGTGATTTGGAAGAGTGAAACACATTTCCCACCAATTTTGTATTGAAATAGAAGTTTATTTTAACTGTAAATCAAATGACAAGGTTCTGTCAGTTACATAAAACAAATATTGAGTGGCTTTAAATTGTGAGATGGGAAGAATATTATCGCTTGGTAAAATCTGGACTTTTCCATTTTGCTCGGCTTTGCCTTGTGAAATAGAAAAGCCAGATTTTACCTTGCGATAATATTCCTCGCATTCCACTCTGAGCCACTCAATATTTGTATACTGAAACATGTCATCATATCTAAAGATGTTTAAAATAAAGAAGTACCCCTACTGTCCATGCTCTTTAACTAAACTGGTTTTTACTTCTAACAAATTGTGACCATTATGACAACTTTGCCCCCAGCTGAATTATTGTTGGCTTGCAGGTTATAACAATTTTGTACAGTAATTATTCCATGACTAAATATTGGACAATTTGTTTCTTTCAGAGTCTCATTCAAAAGTGTATCACTTGTATTGCTATAAAATTAGCAATTTGATTAAAAGAAATCAATTTTTGAGGGTGAAACACAAAATAGCATGGACAGTACATCTGTAACATTTGAGGGGATATGCTTCGTTATCGTATTACTTGTAAGGGGAAATCAAGGGATTGGTAATGTAGGCAACAGGGAAGAATTAAGCAGTGGTTCTAGTTTTGCCTGTGCTTAAGGCCCCAGAAGGATTCTGATTTTGAAAAAAGTACATACATGTACGTACATGTATGTGCATTGTAGTTTCATACATGACTTAATTTGCCAGCTAGAAATGGTGTTTGAATACTCTTCCTTTATGTCTGCTGGGAGAGGAAATTAAGGATTCAAAGTCTCCGTGTGCAAACTATAACTACATGTATAATGTATGCCCAACCCTGTTTCCTGAGGTGTTTTTCTTGCAGTTTGACTTGCCTGTGTTTTGGTATAGTCCGACTCTATATTATCGCAGCAAGTCTATTATCCCGAAATCAGAAATTTATCTTTTTTACGTTGCCAGTACACTCTCTAGCGGTGATGTTATCCTGTTCATTGGTAACTAAGGCCTTTCTGCCAAGTTGTATAAAAAATTGTATAATACAAATGTCGCGTCTTTTGGTAAATTTTGGTGATTTTTAAAAGATTTGTACTTTTTCTTTATCTTGCAAATTTTTGCCGTATGGTGTCTGCCAAAAGGTACCCGCTATCTTTTAACATTTACAGAATGTATCTCTGATGATGAGTCCATGAAAGTTTCATTGTCTGGTTCCCATTTCGCTGCTGCAAAGGCCAATGATGTCGAAGAACGATATTTCCACCACCAAATCGTAAAAACTTGTATGGAATCCAAACAAGGACTAGCGTACACATAAAAAATATACGTCGCACTATAAGTGTACAGTTGGCAATCAGTAGATTTGTCTCCATGATATTTTTTTCTTTCGGGGCCGGGCTGTAAAAGAAATAATTATGCAGGCCTAATCGTCTTACATCGGGTAGAACTTTTTTAGGCAATTAACAGACATTTTCCAGGGGATGTGTTGGTCCAACAATAATCATGAATACAAAAATTCAGGTCATTGTAGAAAGCATCCGTCCCTACTGCGACAACAGAGAGTCTACCTCCGCTCGCATACTGTGTGCACATATTTTCACAGGCATGGTACAGGAAATTAAATGAAACCACTGCCAGAATTTTTATTTCAAAGTGAAAAGTTAGTTAAACATCACAAATTTTTGACAATTTGAGAAGGTTAGTGAGCAATCTCTATTCTGATCGGGAAACGTTATACTGCGATAATACAGTGTCCCATCCTACATCGTGAATATCATGTTATAAAAAGTTTTTTTTTTAATCAACAGCTAAGGCAGGTAAAAAGAAAACGGGATTTATTCCTGGAGAACGGATGAGATCTCACTATGCTAAAGGTAAGCAGAGAAATGTTAGGGTGATAACATTCATTGTATCTGGAATATGGGGTGCTGTGCTCCAATGGTTATGGTGTTTAACTCGTGTGCCATGGTACATGGGTTCGAATCCTGACTGTGGGAACATGGTCCTTTGTGCTCTTGAGCAAGGCACTTTACCATTATTGCCTCATCCTTCGGATGGGACGTAAAGCCACACGTACCGGTTAGGTCCCGTGTGTTGTGTAATGCACGTTAATAGAACCCAGTAACACTTTTCGCTAAGAGAAGGGGTTGCCCCGGTTTCTGGCAGTGGCTACAATATGCGCCGCAGCACCTTGTAAACCCTCATAATGTGCTACATAATTGGTCTCATATTTCTCATAAACTTCATTTACCTGTCTTTAATAATAGACATAATTTCCAGCGCCTTGAGTACCTAATTGTTGGTAGATACGTGCGCTATCTAAGACTCCGGTATTATTATTAATATTAATATCTTTTTAATTTTGTATGCATCAAACAGCCAGGGACTGTCTAAAAGTTCAGGGATTTTGAGTTACAAACTGATCAGCAGCAGATGCCTACATCACTACTCATCTATACTTAACAATACTAACCCTAACCCTGCTGAATCCAACAGGATCCAACTATGTCACATACCCGATGGAGACTGTTGGATTGAGCAGTAAACCCCTTGTGTACATTTCTCATGCAAAATGTTGGATTCAGCTGGCAACTGAACCGCATTTTATTGTAACGCCAAGTTGGACTCAGTTGGATTCAGCAGACAACTGAAAATGAGGCACAGTGGATTGAGCAGGAAAGTCCGGTTGGACTCTGTTGGATTTAGCAGGGTAGTCCTGAGGAACCACTAGGGGGTTAGTTAATTGGAACGAGTACATGTACGTTTAAAACCAGCTACGGGCCAGGACACGGATAATGGCCTGAGCTGAACCCTTTCAAAAAGACAAAACAAGTCAAACATTTCAAATTTCCAACGATTTTGTTCAACAATTTTACTTTATTATGTTTTGTGAAACACCCTAGTAGCTTTGTTTACGGTATGTGCCTCATGTGAGAAGTGCTCAAAATCTTATAAGGAGATTGCGAAACGCAGCGGTGCCGGGAAAAAAAGTGTTTAAAACCAGTCGCCGTTTTATCAACCATTTAAAACCACCCATGTGACAGGCTCTTGACCAATAAGAATGGGTATTTTCTGAATCACCAATAAATATGGTTGTCATTCCCACCCATACAAGTACAATCTGTTTGTACACAGTACCTATGGTGTGAAAAAATTAATGTCAGACTTGATAAGCAGTCTTTTCTACGAAATAACATGTGACAGAAATGAAGTATATAAAGTGAATTGCCACCAGAAAAAAGGAACATACTAATTGTGCCCACATACAAATGATACACACTGCTTCTCATTTCTTATAACCCTCATCTCTTCAAATGCCAGTGCGTATGTATGTATGTACTGGTGTAGGCGTGTTCTACTGTAATTACTGTAGAAAAGGTTTGGTCTGTCATAAGCATTAGTTACACAATGATGCATGAACAGCCTGTCCAACCATATGGCCATGCCAAGAGCCTGATAATAATGTGTGTACTTGTCTGCATATTATATAGACATCACTGAGATATCACATAACAGGTGTTGCCAAAACCTAATAATGCCATTTGATAAGTCATTGTAAGTTGTTCATAACGTAGGATCATGCTTTACATGTAAAAAACTGCCCTCAATAATCATGGTTTCCTGAAAAATACCAACAGCAACATTTAAGAGAATTCAGTGTTGGAAGAGTGTATAATGTGTACATACATGATGTACCTGTACATGCATGTACCTGCACATGTACATGCATGTACAGTTAAATAGCTTTGAAAAAACAAAAACAGTTTTCATAAAATAATGAATTGGTAAACTCAGATGTATTTGTACACAATGTAGAATTTGTCATTGTTCTTGCATCTATAATTTTTTACTGGTAGCTACACGCATGCACCATTTACATGGATACAGCTGCAAATTACAATTTAGGAAAAATGACCTCACTTGAGAAAAAGAAGCAAATGCCATCATTACCCATTGATGCTAACTGCTACATGTATGTGAGCACAGTTCGTCACGTTAAGGGAGAAATAAATCTTTGTGTTAAATGAGAGGCTCATAATGATAGTTAAATCATTATGACGAGGTGTATTTGTGTCAACTCAAATGCATTGTAATTTGTGAGAAATTAGATTTTTGTTCAAAATAATGACAGATGTTCTTATTTAGCATGTAGATACATATGGATGTTAACTTCAGATTGAATTGTATAGAATTGATGTTATTGTTCATTGATCATCTCTGCTGTAGAGTTAGATTCTTAATAGTTTAATTCCCAGACTTGAAATCAAGTTGGTAAGTGGCCGGGTTCAGTCTTCCTGCGCCGCCACTTATATTTGTACCGCACCATACTACCAGCGTTGACAACCGCATACCGTCCCGGAGTTAAGTGAAGCACCCGGTATAATAACACGCGGGAACGATTCGTACATCCTCGGCCCCATATGCGTGTACGTCGCTCCCAATTACCAACATGAATAATCTGCAACCCTGTTTGTTCACAAGACATGGGAAATGCTACCAAAATTGGTTGGAGCACTTTGATTGGCTAAGAATCGGAAGGATATGAATATGTATATTAAAGGGAATGTACATCATTGGCTTTTGCTATAAATTTCAGAAATGATTGAATTGAGGGGTTAGTATAATAGATAAAATATTGTTACACTGACAAGTTTGAAGGTTTGTGTTCGAAAATGCTGGAAAAACAAAGAAAAAAAAAAAAAATGTTCAAGTAGTCTGGTTCCCTGACTCCACTAAAATGAAATGAATCAATTTGTAGATGCCGGAAAATTGTAGGGTAAGGAAACCAATCTAGCTAGCCTTCACCCGTTCATGAACATGTAACTAATAGCAAACAAAATTTGGACTGAAAAAAAAATGGTAAATTTTGAGCAGTAGTTGAAAAATATTTAGATTTTCCAACGGTGGTCGGCTGACCACCGTTGGAAATTTATACAAAATAACACTTTTCTTGAAAATGACTTCACACCAGGTGCCATAATTTTACAGAATGCTTTAGACCTTCATTTACCAACATCCTAGTAAGGTATTTCGTAAAAATTTGGTAGTTTTGTTTTCCGATGTTTGCAAATGTTTGCAAAAGCATGCATTGATCAAGCATGCTGCAAACTGTATCCCCACTCTAATAATGGATGCTTCCCAAGCGATACCACAGGTTATCATTGGCCCTCTCAATGGAAACGTAATGCATATGCATTTTGCTGGTCGCAGTAATGAATAACTGTCCGAATTCATGTTAGTCAAGTTATTAGACCTGTTGGATGCTGGATGTAAACACGATACTGCGCAAGTAGGACAGGTTATTCCCTGTCAAATCACCCAATGGATTAAACCCCACCCCCTTCCAATTGGCTCATATTTAGTATGTGGGGTAATTTAGGCTGAAAAGGCTGAAATTTTAAGTTTTAGCGCCATCCGACAAATGGGTTTCTTGCTACTGCCCCCCTCCCCCCCATTGTTTGGCAATTTTGGTCAAAATGGGCGTGGCCACCAATTTTCAAAAGATCACATCTCTGTAATCTGTTGGCCCAATTAGTTAATCCACGGATCCTAGACACCAGGATAAATGACTCGGCCCAACTCCTGGTTAGACGCGTGATAACGGCCTGTACTGGTGGCAAATACCATGAATACTTTTCAACAAAGACCACTGCGCGCGGTGGCTTTCAGATTTGCAAGGCTCTGCGCCCGATCTGGCCTCGAAGTCTGTCAAGCCAGCGAATTATATTTTTGAATATTCATGAGTCTACGTTTTTGGTCTTTATTACTGAATTCTGATAAGTGATAAGTGATAACTACATAACCATGGTAATGCCGAGCACAATATCTTTAGCTTTAAGATGAACAATGAAATGTCGCTTTTGTTTCATCGGTTCGGCATCACATCTCTCTAAAACTTTTTAATAAAAGCCTCATTAAAAACGAAATTTGGGTAAACGGTGTTCTCCTTAAAATTTGACGTTTATTCCCGGGTAAATACTTCATCCATGACGACAAATACCATCTGTTATATCCTGAAGTATTTATTTCTTAAATAATTTGGAACAATTATATCTTAAATAAGAAGTAGTTTTACTTACAGTTTTATGAATATTTCCGTTTTAGATGTCGTGCAAAAATGCAACACAATGGCACATCTGGAAAATTCGCGATTACGCGCCAACGGGTATTAATATAACGGGCCCGTTATCACGCGTCTAACCAATTATTAAGGCAAGTCCGCTCAGTGCATTTTGTACTGGAGCTGAGAACAGTCGTTTATCCTGGTGTCTAGGATCCGTGGTTAATCTTGGTTGCTTTGTAAAGAGAACATCATAAGGAACCCAAATTTACCATTACTTTTCATGTCAGAGTAATTTGAAGTATGATGACCTTTTGACCTTTACTTTAAACTTGAATTTGATCTTGTGAATCACGTGACCTTGAGACGAACTTTGAGGAAAATTATACCCCAAGATGTTTACTACAAAATATCCAAAAATTAGGGGGTATAATATGTTTTGTTAGGTTTCTAGCTCATGTCAAAGTTGGCATTTTTGTTGCAAAATGTGATAATCCTATACATGAACACATTTCAGGGACAAAAAAATCCCTGATTTAAATCCACTAGTACACTGCATAGGGATATCACATTTTGCAACAAGTATTGAGATGAGCTTGAAACCAAACAAAACATATTACAACCAAACAAAAAATATTATACCCCCAAGTTTTGGATATACATGTATTGTAGAAAACATGGTGGGGTTTAATTTTCACCCAAGTTCGTCTCAAGGTCGGGTGATCCACAAGGCCAAATTCCAAAGTCAAAAGGTCCTTATACTTCAAATATCCCGGACATGAAAAACAATGGTAAAAGTTGGATTTCTTATGATGTAGCCTTTCAAAAGAAACCAAGATTAACAAATTTGGCCCACAGGTTATGGAGATATGGTCATTGGAAAATTGGCAGCCATGCCCATGTTGATCAAAATTGCTAAACAATGGCGGGCGGTAGCGCGAAAAGCATTTGTCCGATGGCACTTAAACTTAAAATTTCAGTTTGTTTAGCCTAAATTGCCCCATATACTAAATTTGAAGGGGATGGGGTTTAAACTTAAATTTTATTGGGTGATTTGACACGTAATGATCCGACAGTGTCTAACGACTTGATTTCATCTTACAAGTGGGACATATTCCCAGTGTTGACATAATAGCAATTGGCACTGTCACCATACCAAATCCAAAGTCGGAATTTGTTTTAGTTGACTCTGTCTCCCGCTTGTTTCTTTAGATCGAGTTGGCAAGTTTGAGGTTGAACGAGATGTTAGAGAAAAAATGGCAGCTCATAAATCAGCAAGTGACCCAAGAAAGGTAGGTACATGTACAATTGAACAAAAATTTGAATCTGTGTACAAATCTGTGGACACACAACTGTCAAATATAAAACCCCTAAGGGGCCATTCAAAATGTTCGATGTTTTTAAATTTCGAAAATGTGGGTGGGTGGGTCAAATTAATTTTTTGAAATTTTTTAAAATTGAAATTCACTTTTTTCAATTAAAAAGATAGAAAATAGCTCTTTTGACTTGCCAATTCAACTCTCTGTGTTCAGATTCGTACACCCTTTGCCCGTACCGTACGGGTACAGTATGCATCCGGTACATGTACAATGTACCGTGTATTGTGTATACGTCCATCGGAGCACCATATGCATGGGTACCAGTTAAGTTAGACTTAAAGCATATGTAAAATCAGTGCGCCGTTCAAATGTGGCGGAATACCAGGAAAACGGTTACGAATCGCGACAACAAAATAAACCTACTTGTGTTCAAGACTACCGGTACTTTAATAGGCAACCTGCATGCATGTGCATGGTATTCATCTGCTTGCAGTGAACATGGCAGCACCCACACGTGCTGGAAAGCGTGAGTTGAGAGTTGAAATTATTTTTTTCCTATCAAAAACGACGGAAATTTCTGAATAAACTTCATGAATAATGGGAGTCATAATGCCTCTTTACGCCAAGACGTTGGTTTTTTTTAAAGCGAGCTGATACTTATTATTACCGTTTGAAATGGACAAGTTTTACGTGTTTCCAGTTGAATTCCTATATGTACGGGAATGCCAGTGGGCCGTGTTGTTGCAAAGGTACTGTATACGGACTGCAGCTGCATTCTGCCGTCACTGAACTGGACATTCGTTCAATATTTTAAGATTGAAAATTGGGGTGGGTGGGTGGGTCAAAACAAATTGAAAAAAAGAAATCAAAAAATTTAAAACATCGAAAATTTTGAATGGCCCCTAACCCACACATGTTCTTCATAATCTGCCACGCAGGAGATTCTGGAGGAATTCGCAGGATCGAGGAAGGTGCTACCCAGTCACTACGGGTCTCGTTGCCCCTTGAAACTTTAAGTTCAAGGAATATGAAAATGTTGGTTTCCTACAAAGTGGGGGTTTTACAAGGATTCAGTAAGGTTTCTGGCAAAGAAGTGTGGAAGCTTACCCTGCCAGAATCCAACTACATGTATATCATATACCCGTTGGAGCCTGTTGGATTGAGCAGTAAACCCCTTGTACAAATGTACATGTACATATTCAGAGTCGGATTCTGTTGGGTACTGATAAGTAACGCCAATTTGGACTCTGTTGGATCCAGCAGACAACTAAAAAATTAGGCACAGTTGGATTCTGTTGGATTGAGCAGCCTGAGGAAGTAACCATTGGATTCTGTTGGATTTAGCAGGGTAGTCCTGAGGAATCCTTACGGGGTTAGGGTTAGGAGAAGTTTTTTTAAAATATAAATAAAGCTAATGCTTGATTTGGCTAATAAAATTACAAATACAAATTAAAAATAGGCCTCTCTCACATCCTGACCTAAATCTGGGCACCGGAAAGTCAGTGTTGCCATTGTAGTAGGCAAAGATTGTATAGTACTGCACACAGTAGGTACATGTAATATAAGGTAAGCCTTCAAAGCTGTGACGGATGGCAAAAACTGTGCTTGGATTGCACAGTTGTGGCAACTGTACATGGCTTAATTAGGTAGTGGCCATTATGCCATTTGATAAAGAATGTTCAATTATTTGACATGATAATAAGCCCTGCTGTCTAGTGTACAGCACACAACGTGGTTGCGAACCAAACGCTTGCCTACTGCAGTGGTGGCTCACATCATAGGATCAGAACCTGTACATGTACACTACAGGAAACACAAAGTTAATATAGAAAATACAACCAAATACTAGCAAATAAAGCATACATTGCAATGCCACAACTGAGAATGAAAAAAAAAAAGCAGAGAAGGAATTTTCTGTGAGGCAGATGAACTTAGTTTATCTTGGAACTTAGTTAAGGAACTGAAATAAGATGTATTTTCATAACAGTACACCCAAGATTATACTTTTAAAAATATTTACTTCAATCTGAGTAAGTCTCCTGACATCGTCCATCTAATGTACAGTCTTGGCTCTAGACTGGATTTTGGAATATGTTCCCCTCCCACAGCCAGGGGGGTGGGGCATTTGCCCCCCCCCCCCCCCCAGTTTTTTCCTTCCTCCAGTTTGGACTGCCTTTTTTGGACTGCCCCCCCCCCAAAAAAATGTTTTTTCCATGCCCCACAAATGCCACCCCCCCCCAAAAAAAAACCACAATTCTTTTTAGAGTCTGGCGCTGGCCACTGGCCACTGGCCAGGGAACAAGTGCAGTTTTTAAACCCTCTGAGGTGGTAGAGGGTGCACTGCTGCCGTGGTTGCTTGGGTGCACTTGCCATTGACTGGCTACTTAGGAGAACATAATCTAAGTCCAGTATTGATTGACTAGTAAGTGAACAGGTATCATGACATGCTAAGTGGACAGGTATATTAGTTAAGCATTGATATTCTTGTCTTCCCTCTGTGCAGGCTGCATTGGAACGGGGGGAACGTCTTGGCCAACTTGACGATACCATCCAAGATATGAGAGATCATTCCTCCTCTTTTGCTCAGGTAGCACGACAACTTCGGGATGAACAACGAGGCAGAACATCCACGTTTCCATGGTGATAAGAAACTAGTACAGAATTTTTAATCCAAAATTTAAAAGTTTCTCACAGCCTTCGGTTGGGAACATTTTATCCAAAATGGTTCAGTTTGGGTTCGGCTGCTAAGAGCAAATTGGGGAGTGGACTACAGTTAACCATAACTGGACTAGCTTCACTCAAAGAATGATGGTTGGACTACTCCAGTCAGATATTTAGAACTGGACTACTGGGCACTGTTCCATCACTGGTTACCTATAGCCGTGTGCATCATAAATCACAACGGGGGACCAGGACCAAGAGGTTCAGTGATGACACTTTGACCAGCATTTGACTAGAGGTGTTTGCACGTTGCTATTACTGCGCAGGCATAAGTTACCGGTACCTCACAAATCAACCACTAGTGAATATCGATCCTCGCCCTTACTTGCTCAAATTTGAACATCAAAGCGAGTTGCTACGGCCATAGACCTGTTAATCACCTGTATGCCCTTTGCAGGACCCAGTCACATGCCATAATAAACCTGCCCATGCCACACTGTCACTGCTTCATAGCAACAATTTTAAAAAAACAATAAATATTTTATGTGCTTGATGTGGAAAACGCATCCATATTGCCCATTTCGTCTTTAATACTAAAAAATGCTTCTCAACAACATTTGGACATTACCGGTATACATTTGTTCACATTGATGTTGATTGAGAGTGCATGAAGCATGGCTAAATCAGTTTTAAAAACTTGTTGCTCGACGTGACCTCTAATTTGTGTAGCAGTTGTGTAGACTGGATTTTGGCCAAATAAAGATGCTAGCTAGAACGGTATAAGGAACGTGAGCCAGCTAGTCCTTGGCAATGACAGCATGAAATATGTCATACAGTGCATTTCTGAAAAGATCTAAAACTGAAGATTTCAGTTGGAATGTTCCTATTCTGTATTCTTTACATATGTTTTTTAATGTATTTATTTTAAGTATTGGTCATACCAATACCTTGGGTTGTCATGGTGCTTTGTCAGGAACATTTGTACAACTTGGTTTGAAATCTGTGGTGCTAAGTCGTCCATGACTGCAGGAATGCAAATAAGGATATTAATGGAAACCACCATCTATATCGTAACTACACATACAGACAGGTAGTTAAGTATACAATTTCAATGTACATGTATTAGCCCGATAGTTTTATGGTTTTTTTACATTTGCCCTTCACAGTCATCTTATGGGCTCAGTGCACAAGTACCCCTTCAATGACCAGAAAAGGAGATCTGGGGGAGACCTACAATCCTGGCCAAATCTCGCTGGGCCCCCAACCCCCCGGCCCCCGCTCAATGTTGTCTCTCATTGCGCGCTGTGTGCTTCATCAGCTGGATAGAACAACATTGACCGGGAGAGCGGGGGAGTGGGTGATCGTGGGAGGCTAAGGAAGTGTCCCAAACATTTTGGCCAGGATTGTAGACTGGTTCCCGATCCATCTACTGCATATTTTGAATGATAACAAGTTATTGGGGCGGGGATTAGTCTGGGAGACCAGGCAGACAACATGACTTTGGGATATTATGCACAGGCCTCCATGTAGTTGCTGTCCATTGATGAACACTACCTTGAAGGTGGAAACAAAATGTATGCATAGATTCTTTGTATTGCAGCCATCTAGGAGGTTTGTACTTCTGTTCTCGGTGATAAATATGCATGAGTAGGCCTCTGTGCGTTCCCGGTGATAAATTTGCATGAGTAGGCTTATGTGCGTTCGTAATATAAAGAAACTTCAAGGATGGCTGCTAGCTGCAAAGGGTCAATAATAAAACATCCCACCTTACTTGGCGAAGGGTGAGCAGTTTGTAAATAAAAGATAATTATGTTTGGACATGAAAATGCTGTTTAAACCTTGAGAGGCCTTGTCATTCACATTTCAGGTATCTGGTGTAAACTGATTAACATAATTTCAGTGGAATTTGACATGTGTGCCTTTTATTATAAATATAGGCTGCAGAGTTTGAAATGGGAAATTTCAATGATGTGTCAAAGTCATCATGCTATTTAACACATTTTTTTATTGCAGCTGTTCTTGTTTTTCTTGACCATGGTCAGGAGAGGGTTATAACATTCAGGCACGTAGTACTGTTTACTCCTTGTGCAATGGTGTTGATCTTAATTTGAAATGCTGACATCACCATAACATCTTCATTAGTCGTGACAAACACACTTGCACTGTACCAAGTTAAAATTCATTCAATAAATTAATACATGTACTTGATAATGGAAAGCTGGTCAAAATTGAACTTCCATTAAAAATTAATTTTCTAATATCACGAGTTAGGAAAATTAAACTATTCATGAATTGAAATTTGAAAATTCAACTTGAGGCAGTGCAGTATATTAAGTGAAGTGTGCTTTTGAGAAAAACAGAATCTTTGGCAATCTTTCAAACACAGACCCACCAAAATAAGGAGAAAACATTGGCTTGTTGTAATTTAGGAGAAAATTAAAGTATAATTGATATCTGAAATTAAATATTATTTGACATTGATGATACAAGTATCAAACAAGGCTGATTCAAGCTAGCACTCAGTTTGGGGATTTACAGTAATCCTGCATGTCTAAATTTTAGTCTGAATCTGATGCTGTGTTGATGTGCAAATATACCGCTGAAAATGATGCTGGCTTTACCTTGTATTCAAAGATATTTGCTTTTTTTTTCACTATTTTCTCAAACAGTACTACCATCTGAAGGTGCAAGTTTTATTTGGAACACCAAATATTAGTGTATGGTTTCACTTGCTATGGTACTCAACAATTTCGCAGCTTAGTTTTTTAACATCCCGCATTGGATTTAACTGTTGTTATAACAGAACAAAAAAAGTTTCTTGACTTCTTTTCTAAGAAGAAGAAGAGGCGTTTTTTTTAATTTTCGTTTTCGTTCTCAGTAAATGTCTAAGTACCAAACACTGCTTAGTCTAGCCACAGACTCATTGGGGTTTTCACAAACATAAATGTGCATTATTTGGTCCAAAGGGAAGAATTTAATTGATTGGTTGTCACCGATTCTCATTATTTCAAAATTTTGAATTATCTCGTATTTAAATAATATTTTATTCTTTCACATACTTCATTTCATTACACTATAGCCCAGTGTTTCCCCTGCCCATTCAAACGTGAGGTGGCCCACCTCGCTACTTTCAGTGACCACCTCGCTCAATTTTTGCCAATATCACCACCTCGCTGTGAAGATTGGCAAAAAAGGAAATATCAATTGAAAATTCTTCATTTTGTGTAATATATGAGCGTTTTCCTTTACCCCCATGTATCAAGAACTCACAATTTCGATGTGTTTTTGGAATCATCGCTGCATTCTTTTCAGTTTGCAGACTGCATAAATTTGTTTCAGTCATCAACTTGAATTGTTACCACCTTGCTCAGTTCATTAGCCAGGGGAAACACTGCTATAGCCATATAGATGTGCCTTGAAGTCCTACAATCGTGTAATTGTGGGTTTTTTAAAAATCAACTTGTACACTCAACTTGAATCATCAGAGAAACATGAAATGCAGATGGTTCTATTTGCCTTACAAATAGCTTTTGTTATATGGCTTGATGTTCAAGTTCTATCATAACACTATTTTGAATTACCTTGTCTCTATCAATTCAATTGCAGTATTCCTAAGATGTAATTGCATGTTTTTCACAATACATTTGTCATGTGTTTGTGAACCACTAATGTAAATAGTGCTTTCTGGAAGCGACAGCTTTATGTAGATCTGCCTTTTTTGCAGTTATTTATTTCCTGTTTCTTATTGAACTCTATTTTGGAAAAATGTAATGCTCATATATATATATACACACATGTTTAACACAATATTTTGGTTTTGTTTTACTTTTAATGCAGACGTTCATAGATTCTTTGCATTGACGTCATCTTTGAGGTGAATGTTTTTGTGTTACAGGGATGCACACAAGTGAAATTTTGTGCATCGCTTGTAACAGAGTCAAAATAACAACCCAACATGGCTCCTGAATGTAGGTTTGTGGCAATAGTTAACAGTAAATTCTAATGGTAAAATCATGAGGCATTCTGGCAAAACGAGACAGAACTGGGCACAAATGTGTTTTTTTTTCTTCAAATTTTTTTGTAACTTTTGATATGTCTACTAAACATAATTTAAAGAAATAGTGTAACAATTGTGGAATAAAAGTTTTTTCACAAAAACAATTGGCATTTTTATGAGTACAAGACTAAAAACTTTAAAGGCACTTTTCTCAGTATTTCACTTTTTTTGTCAACTAATGCAAACTTTAAACAACCATAACTTGTCAACAGAATGTCCGATTGAAGTGCAATAAACAGTAGTGTAAGGAGAATTTATTCTCATACATTATACATACAAACGCTCATTTCCATCTCTGCCCAGAAGTCCATCTTATTTTGCCAGAACGTCTCACATTTTGCTTTCAGTTGGACATTAAAATTAATTTTTAAAAACTTTTTTGAATTATTAGTAATGTTAGGAAATGGTATCAAATGATAATTATTACTGCTCCAAAAACTGGTAAAATGGAATGTAATTTCATTGGTGCATCAGTATGGTGAATGACAAAGTCCATCTTGTTTTGTTTTCATCCAGCTGGCAAACCAAGCTGTAAAGTCTTTCAGTTTGAGAGCAAAATAGTACCATACTACTGTACAGTATCACCAAACCACCTGTTTGGGGAAGCTAATTCACAGGAGATAAGCAGCAGAATACGCAAACACTGTATAATTATCATCTGATAACTATTCCCAATGGTGTTGATTCATTAGTATGTTTTAGCCATTATCAGTAACTGAATGGAGTCTTTATTGCCAGGCTGATCTTGAGGGCAGCAAGCATGACTGGCTGGTCACTATTTCCAGTTACACAAATGCCTGTGATGTTTTCCTCTCCTGCAAAAACAATTGGTAGAAATACACTTCAGTTATGTGTATTGTCGGAAATGTTCTCGCTAAAGTCTGACACACCCCACTTTGGTCTTCGTCATAGAAGTCACAGACTTGCCTGCCAAATATCTTTCAGCTAGTCCTTACAGTATCCAGTTTTGCCGTTCAATACATGTACATGTGTGAGAGCTGTGTGAGCAAATATTCACAAGCCAGCTAGGATGGCATGTAAACCTACAGCCTCTGGCTACTAGAGAAGACATCTTAACCACTTGACCATCAAGTCAATGGGTGGGGGCCAGTTTCTGAATCGTTTCCCACACTTTGTTGAAAACAATGCCTAGTTAGGAGACAAGCCAATAATGAGATTTGCATCTTCCCAGTGCAAGATTGGATTCACTAAGCTTTCTGCAGTTAATGACCTCCAGCACTTACTACCGAGTCATGTGTAAACCAGTACGTACAGTTGTACATGAATACACTTGTACACGGTTTACATGTACTTACATATAAGCTTTAGCCAATCAGACGACGGAAGGATGAATAATCAAGGCGTTTACTCAAATCTGTCTGCACAAGTGCAGTTCTGCTAGATAAAGTTGCCCTCAATTTCAGACATAAATTTGATGTCGGAATCTAAGCGTATAAAAGGATGGACAAGGAAAGACTATTTTATGGCTATGATCTGAGATACATATTTATTTATTAAGAAACATTCCTTTAAACTTAAAACCTATCAGCATCAAATGTACATATAAATATGCTAAATATGCTATATATGCTATTACAGATCAGCGTATTTGCAAAAAAGTTAAATATTGAATGTCTTAGAAAGGCAGATCATGTTGTGATCACCTGTCACTTATTTGTCTCCTTGAATTCCATCTGCTTGACACTAAAATAAATTTTAGCTGAATAATAAAGTCTTCAGCCCTTTTCCTTTGTTGGTTTTTCTTTCATCTGCAAGTCGTGTGTTTCCTGCATGTCTGTTAAAGGGAATATACAACATTTGCAAACATCGACAAACAAAACTACCAAATTTTTAAGAAATACCTTACTGGGATGTGGTTACTGGCAGTCTAAAGCATTCTGTAAAATTATGGCACTACTGCTGTTATAATTTGGGAGGCTATAATCATCCTTACTCACAGCTGAGAAGCTGAATTGCGAAGGACGCGGCATGTAAAGGTGCCTTTGGCAGCCAGTCATATGACCCATATATGACCACGGAGCACAGCCAGAGATCGAAAGTGTTTGATTTTTTCAGAGGTAGGAAATCAGAGGGCACGCAGGAGAGAATCAACGCACAACTCCACTCGTGGTCCTAGCCAGGAACAAACCAGGGCCACAGTGGTGAGAGAGGCGAGTGCTTTACGCACTAGCCACCCGTGCCACCCTGGTCACCATTCTCGTCATGTTGCCCTCCTGTCATTGTCTATATGTTCATAGCCATGTTGTCTGTAATTTGTGCTACATTCCTTTTGAGGTTATTTGTTTTGTATTTCTAATTTTTCGATTCGTATTTTACATTTGTATGTACTTTTTGTATTGGTACTGTTGAGATCAGATTTTAAAAAAAAATTATTATTAATAAAAAATAATGATAACTGAAAAAATGGAAGAAACCAAGGAAATTAGACTTGTGTCAAGTGAACAAATACATTTTTTTCCCCACAAGTGGCAGTTTGTTTTACAAGATAGGGGATGATGAAAGAAAATCTTAAATTTTACTTTTTAAAAAAGTGAGCCGGCACCAGCCTTGCTGTTTGAACCCTGATTGGACATTTTATACCAAGATTTAATACTTGGACAACACTCCCATTTGCACATGACACATGTCCATAGAATGTGTGTGCATTGTTAACAGCAAAGTGACCAATGCTTTGAGAATCTGTTTCCTTCACAAGATTTAGGAGTCACTGTTCATCCCTTTTTCATTTGTTCCTTTACTGGTGATGAACTTGTGATTCGACTTGTGACTTTTTTATCAAATCCAGATTAAGGGGTGTGTGTGTGTGCGTGTTTATGGTGTAAATCGAGGACACACACGTGCAACATCATCGATTAATCGAGGACAGAAACCGAATCGAGGATGACCTCAATTAGAAAAAATGTACAAAACGAATGAGAGCTGTTGCGAAAAAGTGTTAAGTACAAACAAAGGAAAAGGGAAGAGGAACAAAAGAAAATCCTAGATTTACACCATAAACAAACGTGCTGGTGAGTTTGTCTTACAGTCACTATGTGGACATGTAAACAAACGATATCCACATAATGCAGGTTGTGTTGACGTTATGTGGACTAAGCCGTGTCCAACATAGTGTTTCGCCTGCCCTCTGTGGCAAACGGGTTTAGAGGCATTTTCGGGTTAGTGTTATCAGCTGCAGGATAAAGAGAATCATTCAAGGAAATCAAAAAAATAAATGAATTGGGGTTGAAAAAGTTTTCACAGTTTAAGTAGTTATTTTTTTTGTACCGAGTTTTCTTAACTACACGAAAACAAAGGAATGTCCTCATAGCATATGTAAAACAAACATGGGTGTGTGTGTGTGGGGGGGGGGGGGGGCTAACAGTGAACATGTGCTGTAGGCACTCAGCCAATAACATGCCCCTGACATCGACAGGCGGTGTGAGGGCATGGAAGCTTGAAATTGAGATTCTACAATTTTGTGTATTCTACATTATTAAATGACTGGTTTGAAAGCATATTGGAAAACACAAAAATAAGACCAAAAGTAGACCATGGCTTTACGCAGAAAGACCATAACAGTTTATTTAATCATTTGTACCACAGGACAGAATATATCATTTCACACAATAATAAGCTTTGTTTATGTTACCATACAGCCCTTAGAGGAAGAGTAACAATATCATTTAATATACAATTCAATAATTAGTTTGCAAAGTTCAAGTAATACTACATTAGTAGCGCTCACAATTTGTTCAAACTGTACCCAACCAAGAAAAACAAAAACAAAATATATATAATACTTTTCTTCAGAAGTTAAAAACAAAACAAAAAGAGTAATGTTTCTTTTGTTCTCCAAGCCTGCTTGTAATTTACGTAATTACAATTCATGTCATAAAGTAGTAATTATTTAAGATCAGTGCAAA